CAAGATGACTTCACTAGACTATTGTGCTTCCAGGTTCAATTAGAGTCAGCTGCTCAAGAATTTCTCTGTATCGCTTCTGCAAGCAGAACATCCAAGTATCACAGTTTTTTTGCTGATTATTTTCTCTCTTGAGCGTCCCGTAGGTTTCCAGCCATGGAATCCGGTCTTCCTCTGAAAGAGGATTCCTTGTTGCATCTTTTCTGTCGTTTTGAACATATGACAATATAAAATGATGAAGCTAATCATGATCTAATATCAAAATCAGGAACAGGAAGCTATCATGGTCAATTAGATTAGGACTTACCCTTGTTTGATTGAATGGTAATCATCAGCATCAACAAAAATCAAATTCAAAGCTTTGCTAGCATCTCGCCTATCGTGCTGTTGAAGCACTAAATGCATAGCAGTCATGATGCCGCTGATAAGATCAGAAATAGAAGATGAACAAAAAAGAAACAATCATGTGCAGCAAAAAGATCAATATACATATGTTAAATAGAATGAAACTAATTTCTGCTATACACAATAGATACAGTATCAACTACCCTGACCTCGATGAATATTAAACATCACCGAATTAAAAGTTATAGTCTGCAAATTCAATTGTTTGATAAGAATACAGAATGAGCAACAAAAACATTTATCAAATGATTAAAGCAGTAGATGTCAAACAGTGCAATTTGCAACATTCATTGGATCCCCCAGAGTAATCTATCAGTTTAACAATTTCACTGGTAATGTATTTCATTCCAATTCTGCCACAAAATGACCAAATGACTCTCTTTGGGTAACATATTTCGCCCAATACTGCTGTATTAAACTAACTTGTTTTGTGTTACAATCCCACTATTAAGGTCAGGTAGCTATTTATTCGATGACACCAATAAAACAATTAAATAATGCAAAAAAGAGGCGGTGAATGCCAGTCATACATGTCAATATAGATATTCAAATTCCACCTTCGAGAACATTCAATAACTGAGTAGTTCTAATCAACACAAAGGAGATTAAACTAGCATTTACTCAAAAGTTATTCTTGGTGAAGATGGTGTCCTTGTATGGGCAGATAATCGAAAATAGGTATGGCATTGAAACAATCTGTCAGTTTTTCTGCTTGAAACCTTTGATGGCTTTCCAAATGACACTGGCCTTTATAAGAAACGTTTGATAACTACATACTGGTGATTAAGTGCTGAAGATTTTTACAATTCATGGCGGTGTGCCATTCGAATCTAGACAAATGCAGTTAAAGTTTTTCTGCTGTTCGAACAAGATGAAATTTGAATAGCATCAATTACATAAAAAAGATTGCTTCTGCATTCTTCATCATTAATGCCTAGTACAATGTAGGCTAGGAAGATGATCTCCGAGAAGCACACAAATTTTCAGTCACAAATCTGCCTGTGAAGATCTAACATCACAACAACAATACAAGCACAAAGTCGAGTCCCATTTACCATTGGTATAACAATACAACTAATCAGTAAAAAATCATACCTGAAGAAAATTAATATATTGGTCACAAATATTGTCTAGAATCAACATATTTCAAAGCTCAAAAACCAAGAATATCAAAATCTATAAGAATTAAACCTATAGACTTGAGTTAATTTGAGCTTGCTTTTGGCAATGCCTCTAAAGCCAAAGAAAAACACTTGTAGGTGCTTTGCAGTAAGAATTTTTTCCCACAAAATTATCATTTAACAGCCTATACAATAAAATTCCATCCACTTAACTTTTGATTTCAAAATCGTATCTAAAGTGAAATCTTGTAGACCTTAAATAGTTAAATGAATTGGAGATTGCCTTTGGCACCATCTAAAGCGCTTTCAAATAACCAAAACGCACTTGTATCATATTATAGAGTTTGTTTGAATTAGAAAAACACATTTTGCAATCAAGACAGCACTTGCAATACCTTGAGAAGCATTTGATGAAACATTTCTAAAACAAAGAAAAGTTAATAAGTGCTTCTGCAATAAGTACATTTCTCAAAAGTGCTTCCTAGAAACAATCCCAAATCCCAACTTGAGATTCCATCCACCTAACCAAATTTAAAGATATCCCACTTGAGAATAGACTCCAAACATCAATATTTCACAATCCATCAATCAAAAACTCAACACCCTAACAAAAACGAATCTCAATCCTCAAAGACTCAAACGAATTCAATTAAACACAAAAAAACTTACGATTTCCCACGCCACTGACACCCATTATAACAAAAGCTTTCCCGCGAAGACATAAAAAGAGTGAACAACAGAACTGAAGAGGAATCTATCCATTAACTTGATATCAAATAAGGAAATATTACCTTTAGGATCAGAACCCAGTTTTAGTTACAAAGAAGATGAGGAAAGTTTGAAATTTTAGCAATGAAACCCCCTACGAGAATCAAACAAATGTACAATAAGACAATATATAGGAGCCGTTATGACTGTGAACTTCTTGGTGGCATGTTTTGACTTTCTTAGACTCCTCAGTCAATACCTCAATTTCAGTTTATTCATGTCTGCCAAGATTTGGTGGAAATCCTAATTCCCTCCACTTTTGAGAAACTAACGCCCATAACCCCAAATAAGGTTTTATCAATTAATTATTACTGCGTAAGGAGACAAAAGATATTTTGAATAAGTGGTTTCTTTCATGATCAAGAAATTTACAATATCATTTATCTAAAACTTTATTGTTTGACCAAAATTGAGCTATTTACAAAAAATACTAGTAATTTATTCAAATATTATTTTTACCCTTTGAACCTTATTTTAACAGACATAAATGACACGTAATCCCAAACTTTTAATGCAACTTGCAAAACAAATTTTATTTATTAGTTAATATGGTAAAATGATTTTAAGAAAAATTAAAAGTAAATATATTACAATTTAAGTTACTAGATGATATTGAATTAATTATTAAGAAATTTCACAAATTGACTAATATTTAAATATTTTCTTTTGATTTTGCCTATTCTTTATCTGATTTCAAAAAAAGTATAAATATTATGAGGATTCTTTATATTCTAGAGTCTCATTATATAATTAATCCAGCAAGAGTTAAAAACTCAGCTCTCCAATCTCATTATTCAAGTGCAAAAAAATGGGGCCTGGTGAAAGACAAAATGACCTTAAGCTATTTAACAGAGGTAAAATGCTCAGGGTCGGACAGGACACATTGTGGTCTTTTCAAATTTCATTGGGCCCAAGTGTAATTTTCTCAAAACTCGGGGCTAATGTGTTACCTGCTCTTCTCCTCGTGACCCAACTATCAGGACAGGCATAGATAGCGAATACCTGAAAGGCTGAAACAACAGTGTTCTTTCAACCCAGAAACACGGTCTCTTTCAAGCTCGCATACAACACGAGAAAAGACAAAGAAAAGGAGAGTTGAAGAAGAACCCAGATAGAGACTGCTCACTGGTTACTGGTCAGCCTTCGCTTCATTTCTCCCTTTTTTTTTACTTTTATTGCACAATCATTACATTTTTTAATATTTATTTATTAAATAAAGAAATGGGAAAAATTGCATAGGTTTGTTTGTTTATTGTTTTTTTTTCATAGGTCAATTGGGCAATGGGGTTTCGTTCTTTTTCCAAATTGGTAAACCGTTAGAAAGTTTTCTTCAAGTATAATCCCATTTCGTTTACTGTAAGAAGATAAAAAACAATGGGCTTGATCACTTGACTTTTCTAAGATTTTATATTTATTTTCATAAAATAACCGGAAAGAACCTGTGTATAAAACAGAGACACAAGGACTACCAGCTAACTCTGTTAACTCTTAACAGAGCTAACCAGACCCTGAAACTATGCAGATTCTGAATTCTGAAGGAGGCCTGGAGCTGAGTTCTTATAATCCTCAACAGTGTACCAAACCATTGAATTACTTTGTGTGTTAGAACTGCCATCACAATGCACCAAAAGTAGTTCGTAAATATATACATACTTCGAGGTACATAATTCACAGCATTAGTAAATGTAAGGGCTTCCTTCCACCATTCAATATCAAATGATCAAACGCCAGAAACACACGTGTTGTAAGACTTCCAGAATCAGAACAACGTCGTCACAATGAATAAAAGATATAAAAGCAGAAATAAGAGATGAAAGATGGCCCTTTCATCGTCTCACTTAAACTGAAGGAACATGAGCTGCAAGGTGTCACAATCTATGAAGAGGCTTCATTCTGAAAATTGCATCGGACTCGGAATTATCTGTAAACATAAAGAACAACACCTTATTGAGAGTAAAAGCGGAAACTATAGAGAATGTCATTTTGAAACTAAAAATTTAGCCAAAAAAATTGTTCAGGGAAGGTCCGGAAATGCTGAAATTGAGACAATCAGATGGGCGGCTTTGATACTAGAGGAAGGAGAATTTGTCATTTAAGCAGCTCCAGTAATAGATTTTCACATGATTAGATTTTAAATATGGAGCTCTGCTTTTCGAAACTATATCAGAAATAGGTCATGAATGTGACGATTGAGACAAGCACGAGCACAAACAATCAAATAATAAGCCTCAGTAAGTTGCAGAGTTTCAGCAGAGCAAACACTCTGCAATCCAGTCCAGCTCACCTAACTCTTTCAAACTATAAAAAACAAAATGAAGGGAAGATGAAAGATGACCCCATAAATTAGGAGCTGAATTACAAATAAGTGTCACTGGCAGAAGGTGTTGAGTAGTGGCGAGGCACAAGATAGAATTAGCAAGATCAATGCATCCATTGTGGGTAACATAAATTTAAAATAAAAGTTGGGACTTCAAAAAGACAAATTCAGTGATATGCATAATTACAGATCAGTATGATTGACCCAGAAAAGAATTATGTCAATTCATCAATTGAGTTAATTTGACTAACATAAAATCTTTAATATTACCTTCCAGGCTTAATGATGCCACTGATGTCATTATTGATGCTCATCTTTGCTTGATTGACTTTGAATCTCAAGGCTTCAGGTGCACTTGTGAAAAAAGGTTCAAGTCAACTAAATTTTTTATATAACCATCATGCATGAGTCGTTTTTCTGCATCAACTTCATTCCCGAATCATCTTCATTTATTGGATCATCACCCTACATAAAAATGAGAATAACATGAGTAAATTTAAGATGCATAATTTTAAAATAAAATAATAAAAAAAATATTTACATGATAAATCTAAATTTGAAATAATAGTTGTAATTGCTAGAAAACAATGCCACAGAACAATTAAAAACTACTAAAACAGCAATTAACTGCTTAGAAAAGCAAAATGAGCAAAAAATCATAAGAGGCAGTAAAAGTGGTTTTCAATTAAGCAATAAGGACAATTTTTGTGAGACTATATAATTAAAGATCTCCTAAACCACAAAATCTCCACTACTAGTTAGTACTAGATTCCAAAACTATCCAAAAGAGTAGCTTGTCAAAAAATCTTTTTGATGCCCAAACCTTGTAGTAAGATACCATTGACATGTAAATAGGAAACAATGACAATGAGGTATAGAAAAAGCACTGCAATACATATTTTTGTTTCCTTGCATAAATGAGAACACAGAAAGAAAAATACAGGAATTAGCAAGAGGGTATAATTTAACTTCTAGAATCACAACTCTAAAGAAAAATGAGTTAAAAACAAAAATACAGGATGTGAAGAGTGTATGTTCATATCGGGTATAATATTTGGTGGGTAACATTATTTCAGATACATTTTTAAATCATAGTTTAAGAAATAATTGAATCATATTTTGATGGTTTATTGAAAACATAACATCAGGTCAATTTTCAAAAAAGAAACCAGAAAATAAAATATATGTCCTTTTATCAATGTCATGTTATTGTTGATGTAATTGATCCATTTTGTCTCAATATTTTTTTTTCTCAAATTTTGATAGTTATAATCTTTTTTTCAAGAAAATATTAATAGTATAAACAAAAGAGAAATGCACTTTCAGCTTAAAAACAGGCTTCCCAACACAATATCAGGATTTTTTTCTTAATGAATGGAAGTGAATTTAGTTTCTTCATATTTAATTGTGTTTGACAAAAGAAAAAAAAAAATTCTATTATATAACAAATGGAAAGATGCATCAACGACATGAAAAAAAATGAACTCCATTATTGATCAAGTTGGCATACAAAGTCCAATGAAAGAGTTATCTCATAGCTTACTTCAGAATAATGAAAAGCTTCCGTGGTTCCTCAATCCCATGCCATGTGGAGCATTTTCCAGGACACTAAGCTCATAAAGAAAAGCTTAGGAAAGTGCAGAGTTCCAACTCAGCTTTCAGTCCAATTAACTTCTCAGGACACTTGTCTATAGAAAAGTCCCCTCTCAGCAACTGAATCAAAACTACCCATCACCTGTTGAAGAAAGCAGAAGCTAAACTTAGCACACAACATCCATGGAGAAATAAAACTAACTTATTTACTTATTTTTCATCTTGTATTAAGCTAAAAATAAATAAACGTATGGGTAGGAATATATTTAATCCTTCCTAGAAAAGTAATGGGGTCAGCCTTCAACACTTCAGAAGTTCAACATGAAATATTATATCTGAAATAACAAACGCTACATTCTCTCTGTAATATAAAGAAGACGAACCTTTAGAGATTTTTCAAGATTATATATGTGTGATATTCGATACAGTAACTTTCCAAATGCATTTAAAATGATGATCTAAGTATAGACAAATTCTGAAACCTTTAGTAGAAAAGTCATCCTGCAATAATTCAAGCACACTTTAGTACACATTTCATTTCATAACCCCAAGAACTTTCTAAATTTTCCTCTATAAGACCTTCTACCAGAAAAAAAAAATTCTTTAAAAATGCTCATGAAACATTTTCAAAGTTACCTAAGTTTATATGAATCATTGAATATGTAAGAAATTAAATTCTTACAAATAAGTCAATTGCAGAAAGTTAAAATTAGAAAGATCAGTGCATCTATTATAAGTTAAACTTAACATCAATTTACATTAGAAGTGGGAATTCCACACAGACAATTCAGCCTTATACCTAACTGATGGAGCCTCCTGTAAAATTGACTAAAACCAACCGCAATACACACAAAAGTAACAAGCAAGAGAACACACACTCAGATATGAACTGTATTAGTATTAATATAAGGATTGAAATAACAAATGAAGAAGTATAGCACCCAAACAGATAGATTCCCAGGTTCGAGGAGCTGGGGAGCCTCCCTTAATGACCTATGAAGAATTTACTTGATAATCACCTCACACTCTCTCTCTTTACTATATACTAATTACCCTTTACTAACTGACACTAAATCCATACTCTAAATATCAGCCATGTGTATATTCTTTTAACAAACTCACTCACACTCTCCACACTCACCGCCTCTTCACACTCACTGCTCTTAACGCCTATTCTTGCCTTTCAACTTATAGACCTTGCTCATGGGTGGTCTATCACTAACTACAGATCAGCATGGTTGACCTAAAAAAGGATTATCTCAATTCATCAAGTTAATTTGACTAACATAAAATCTTTAGTACTACCTTCCAGAGTTACCAATGCCACTGACGTCATTAATGATGCTTATCTTTGCCTGATTTGACTTTGAACCTAAAAGCCTCGGGAGGACCTGTGAAACAAGGTTCAAGTCAACTAAAATTTTTCTTTAATCATCATTCATGAGTCATTGTCTTCATCAACTGCACTCCTGAATCATCTTCATTAATTGGATCATCATCCTGTATAAAAATGAGAATAATATAAGTAAACTAAGATGCAAAATTTTAATATAAAATAATAATAATAATAAAGTATACATGATAGATAAAAATACGAAATACAAGTTATTCTTTACGAATGCTTCTATAGGATATAGGGACAGTGAGGTAAAGAAAAGCACTACAATACTCATTTTTGTTTACTTGAATAATTGACAATGAGGTAAAAAAAATACAGGAATTAGCAAGATAGTTTAAATTGACCTCTAGAGTCACAACTTTAAAGGAAAATAAGTTAAAAACAGAACTGTATATTATACATCTGAGAAAATATCTCAAGAATGAAATTAATTAGACCTTCTGGAATGGATATGGCCCTGTAGTTGTGACCGAGTCCAGCTGTTTACAGATTCCATCTAGAATGTGGTCTGCGATATTTTCCAGTGTTTGCTTCTTGAGAGCAACCTGTGGAAAGATATATCCCAGTCAAAGAAAAGATTTGTACAAAAAGCTTATTTCTTAAGTCAGTGATATAGGAGCAGAGATAACGAATAGATAGAATAGTAGGAATAGAGAAATTATCAAAATAAACATCTTTGAATATCCACAGAAAAGTATACCGATGTGTATGTGTTCCTTGCTTCAAATAGTAACCAAGAAACAAGTTTTCAACTTGATTTCCTCAGCTATTGAGGATAATGAAGTCAACATTTAAGTATAAAAAGATTCCCTAATCACATTTTAAAAAAGAAATGAGATGTTTCTAAAGACAAAGATGAAAAAAGATAAACTAAATCTGTTATATAATGAAGCATATTTATTATCATATCAATAACTCAATTGTTTAATAGGAGACGGAAGAAAATTTAAATTGATGTTATTGGAGAATGAAAGTCTAAGAGCATGCACAATTAAGTAATTGAAAATTATCCATGCTATTCCTCAGGGACTTTGAGAACTAACTTTTGTGGATGCTCTATCATTGGAAATTTAGCAAGCCCAGATTTCAAGAAGTTCCCTGAGGCTAAATGAGCTAAGAATCTCTGTGGCATTTTTGGACCATATTGGGCAATGTCATTAACCAGTTCTATTTTCTTTCCCAAGGTAAGTCGGCTACATTTCTATCCCAAAAACAAACAAATCAATAAATCAGTAGCTGAAGTTTGAACTTCAGACGCCTATGAACACATATGGTAAAGTTGAGCATCCACTATAAAAGGTTTGCTCAAAAGAATCCATGTAGGACCAAGGTGCTGAAGTTCAAAAATATTTTTGAACTATAAACTTCATTTAGTGACTGATGGCATGTAAGAAACATGAAAAAGTGGCACCCAGAACCGCAGAGACTGATACTAGGATAAATAAGAGATAAGTTATTAATTGATTTACATATTTGTTTCTATTAAAATTTGAATCACCCACTTGCGGCATATTCAAGCATGTCATTGGTCCCTTTAATTTGACATTCTCACAATCATGTGTACCAGAAAACGTTATCATTTTTCATAATTCCACCATTCATATTTTTGTCAGCTGTACTCTAGTCATTTTTAAAAGATTTTTACACATAGCTCCTCATTGCCACTGTCGAGATGTATGACCAAAATGAAGAAACCAGCAGCACAAAATTACTTGTTGGCAATAATTCAAAATTTATAAGCATGCCATTGCTCCCTTTGAACATCTTCACTCCGCTACAGTTAGTAGTCAATTCACAAACTTACAGTTTCTTAACAACCAAAAACTCTGCTATACTAGTCATGGTCAGCCTCTCACAGTAATAAATTCATACAGTAGTCAATTCCAATAGTTAATTAAGATCCTTAATCTTCAATGATAAAGGATGCATATTCTCAACAATACCCAAGAGAAACACTTAGAAGCTAAATTTTACATACCCTAAAAGGTTTCACTAACACTACACATCAAAGCCCCAAACCATGCAGAACAAAAACCAAGAAAAAAACTTTAAACATTTGTACAATATATATGAATATATAAGATCAATCTCTAATATGTACTGCCATTTCTAGCTTTCTGCACTACGAAACGGCGGTGACCAAAATGAAAAACAATCAAAAAAACAAAAGGCTTTAAAAGGAAAAAGACTACAATAGTAAGACAGGCTTTGAACATACATTGAGTCCCTGCCTGAACACCTATCCTCTGCTTGGCTCATAACTCACTAAAAATCCAACATAAACAACACTATTAACAGTGTATATTAACAGTTTTGCCTATTAATAAACTATCAAATTATACCTGCACAAATTGAAGAAAAAATTTAAAGTGTTAGATAATACACTTTTAAGGACTTAATTAATCTCATCAAATGTAATTTATCTAACAATCCACTAAAAATCCAACATAAACAACGCTATTAACAGTGTATATTAACAGTTTTGCCTATCAATAAACTATCAAATTATACCTGCACAAATTGAAGAAAAAATTTAAAGTGTTAGATAATACACTTTTAAGGACTTAATTAATCTCATCAAATGTAATTTATCTAACAAGCATTAATTAATGCCTATCGACCACATTTGAATACTTTGAAAACTATAAATTTCACTCAAAAGAAACAATTGGTTCAATTTGATTTATTCAGGAGCAATTCGATGTATTTGCACTTCATGATCAATGAAACACAAAAATCACATTTTCAAACAACATTTCAAGCAAACCACTTTTTAAACTTACAGATCATATAGATCCTCACCCAAAATTCCTGAGACCGCATTGTATCCACCTGTCGCCTAAAGCCCAGTCAAACACGACACCGACTTTCAATTTCTGATCTTCCTGAAGCCTATGAACATCATTTGGCACCAATTTCGCCGATCCTTGCGAACAGATTCGGCAACAACTTGGCAATCTCATCTGTGAAATTAAAAAATTAACAAATATAAACGCACATGTTCTATTAGTTTTAATGATAAGTATTTAAGACGACAAAAATGACCTGGACTGCCGCCGGTTTGAGCAGGCGGGACCGTCAGACGATTTTGAAAGGTAGAGGAGAATGAAAGGGAGAGGACACACGTGTTCGATACAGCTCATTTGAAATTCACTGTAAACTAAAGCCAGGCAGCCGGATACTAGAGCGGACTGGACAGGAGTCATATCGCCGTTAGCCACCAAGGAAGGAGACGCCTAACTCTGTGTATCTCCTACTACCATCACCATCGCTGCATTTTCTTCATATAAATTTACACGGTTTGATAATATCACTAAAGTCCCTGTAAGCTAATATTATTTCAATTTTATCCTAACAGAATATTCAAATAGTCCCTCAAAGTTTTAATCAATATCATATATAACCTTGTAATTTCTTAAAATTTATACCCCGATATCTATTTAATTAATTGAATTTCCGAAAGCAACTAGACACACTTCCAAGGGAAAACTTACCAAATGACTTTGCTGTGTGTTGATGAACATTAATAGTTTGCTATCCAACTCACTCTTATTCTCCTTTATATTTTTTACAAAACTCTGAACAATCTGTAATAATAGAGAACAACATATTAATTTTGGGACTCTAAATGGATGATAATTTATCAATTAAACAAGAAGATGAGGAATTTCCTCAACAACCACCTCAATACTTCAAAAACACAAATAATCAAGTGTAACTTTAAAGAACAAAAATAGTGTTTGGTATATACTAATTAATGTTACTTGCTCCTATGCCCTTTGTCCTGCTTTCAAATATAAATTATAATATTGCTTCTCTATATATACTTGATAGTCTATAATTGATTCACTTAGAGGATTTTAATCAAAGACAAAATCAATTATAACACAATGAGGATTGACTAGTATTAATTCAATGAAGGAGAGCAAAAAAGTCTATAGAAAAAGTACATTGTTAATAAGTAAATTAATACTTACCCTTTTGTAATTGTTGTGTGATTGTATCAAGGTCACTCTTTGAACAATCTTTACCGTTCAGCTCTTGTAACCTTGGCATGCTCAAGTCTCCTTTAGAGAAAGTCTTCATCTTGGAGCATTGATATATACTTAGTCTTTCCAAGTTTGGGAATTTTAAGGTGTAATTCCCAGAGTAGAAGCATGTGAGACTTCCTAATTTAAACATGTACAAGTCCTCCAATTTCTCAAAAACAATGGTATCTTTCTCTGTATCTCCCTCATTTGCTAATGCTTCTATCATCATTTCACATTCTCTTACTTCCAAATTTACTAGTTGCGCCAGACTCCTTGCTGTTGAGGATGACACTAAATTTCTCAATCTAGTACAATAATTTATCTTCAAAGTACGTAAATTTTCAAAAGATGCTGAAGATGGCAACAAAGTAGTCAAATTGTGACAATATTGCACCTTTAGATGATAAAGATTTTGAAGAATTGAGTTTAATCGGGAGTCTTGTTTCCAAATGCACTTTAAACTAAAAAGTCCCAACAATTCTAGAACTTTCAATTTTGTGAGTGTCCTAACGTGTTCCTCATCCTTATTACATGAGAATATCTCTTCGTACGAACTACCTTGAAGTTTGAGTTCTTCAAGACGACTAAATTTTTGAAGGATTTGAATTGGAATGTTTGATGATTCATCCTTTATCAATTGAAGAGTCTTTACTTTGCCAGAATTCTTTGGAAGTTCTCCTTGCCAAATCCGTATGATATCCCGTTCACTCAATCTCAATGCCGTCAAATTAGAGTCAACCTAAAGATCAATCATGTGAATCAAATTAGAATAAGAAAATTGATGAAAGCATGGTTGTTACAAATATAAAACAATTGTTTTAGAAATTTCCAGGAAAAATATAGGAGAGTGCATGACGTAATCCAGTTCAATAATAATGTTATGCTCAACCTATACACAAACTATGTGGTATCAAGGTCAACATTAATTGTTTAAAAGATAATTAATTTAAATTAACGCTAAAAACATAACATTAATTTTTAAAATAAAAAAAGGGAAAGATAAATAAATGTTTAAACTAATTATTTGAATACATATACCTTTGTTTTGTGTGCTTGTTGTATGGTTGTATTAAGCTCACTCCCCCCATTCTCTAAATCTTTCTCCTTCCTCTCATAATCAATTTTGTGTAACTTTGGTGTGCTTAAAATTCCTCTGGAGAAAGTCTTCATATTGGGACAATTCTCTATAATTAACTCTTCTAAAGATGGGAAATTGAAAGAGTAATTCCTAGAACAAAAGAAGGTTAGACTATTTAAGTATTCAAGTGACAACTTCTTCAAATTGTTAAAAACAATTTCAGTTGTTGTTGTTGTTGCATCTCCTTCTCCCTCATTTTCTACTATTTCTATCAGCATTTCACAACCAAAGATGCTCATGTCTCTCAATTGCACTAAGCTTCTAGCCGTTGAAGGTGTTATTAACTTCATCAACCCTCTACATCGAGTTACACTTAAAACTTTAAGATTCTGCAAGGAAGTTGGGGATGTCACTAGACTCATCAATCTATGACAGGAAAGTACATCTAGAACTTCAAGGTTTGGAAGATCAGATAGGCTCTTGATTTGCTGATGGGTGGGCCTCCCAGTATGTTTCTCTTCATTTCCACACGAGAATATTTCTTTGTATTCACAACAATATAGTTTGAGCTCTTTCAGATTTTCAAATTTATGAAGAATTCCAAGTGAAATATTTGCTAACTTCTCATGATTGATCTCAAGAACTTTAGATTGACTCTGCCATCTAATCATTTTGATCGCATTATGTAATTCCAATCTCTCCAAATCTGAGTTGATAGAAAGCTGTAAATTTTGGTAGATTTTGAAGTTTCAATGAGGTTACATGCAGAAAGACAAATTTATCATCTTCATTTGTTCCTTCTTTTGAAAAAACCTCCTCTAAAACCTTACAATTATGTATCCTTAGGTATTGGAGTTGGTGGAGGCTTTTAGCGATGGAAGATGGAAATGCATATTTTATGTTTCCACAACCCGACAAAATCAAGTGCGTCAAATTTTGATAGAAGGAATTTGGATGTTGGTTGTAGCAAATCTCTGTAGAATTGATCTCCTTGAATGTCCATAACTTCAAATCAAGGGAAATGCCCTACAATAAAGGTTAATAGTTGTTTCAATATAAAGTAATTAAAAATAATAATTATTGTTTCTGATGGATTACAAAAATATGTCTATTTGAAACTTTTAATAATTTCTAAAAGGCCTAGGCCCAAACTAAACAAACAATAATATAAAGTTGCATTCTTTGTCTTGCTTTAGGCTTTAAATGAGTAAATATTTAAACCAATTACTTGAATACATACCTGATTTTTGTATGCTCCTTGTATGGCTTTATTAAGATCATTCCCCTCATTCTTTACTTCCATTATATTCTCCCCTTTCCATTTAGACTTATTGCGGCTCTCATAATTGACTTTGTGCAACTTTGGTGTGCTTAAGATTCCTTGAGAGAAAGTCTTCATATCAGGGCATTCTCCTATAATTAACTCTTCCAAAGATGGGAAATTGAAAGAGTAATTCCCAGAGCAGAAGCATATGAGACTTTCTAAGCATCTAAGTGACAACTTCTTCAAATTATCAAAAACAATTTCAGTACTCGTTGTTGCATCTCCCTCTCCCTCATTTTCTACTATTTCAATCAACATTTCACAATTCTCTATGCTCATTTCTTTCAACTGAATCAAACTTCTAACCATTGAAGGTGTTATTAACTTCATCAACTCATAGCACCAGTCAACTCTCAGAACTTTAAGATATTGGAAAGAAGCTAAGGATGGCCCTCGAGTGATTTGCATATGTTTCTCATCCTTTCCATATGAGAATATGTCTTTGTCTCCACAGGACTCTAGTTGAAGTACTTCCAAATTTTCAAATTTCTGGAGGAGTCCAAGTGGAGTATTTGCAAACTTATGATCATTAATGATCTCAAGAGTTTTAAATCGACTTTGCCAGTTAATCATTCTCGACTTATGCTTTAAATTGAATTCCTCCAAATGAAAGTTGATCTATAGATCCATTGAAACAAAATCTAATTAACTTTTTATTTTCTTAAAACAAAACTTTAATTGTTAGCTCATAATTCACAGACCAAAAACAAATTACAGAGGCAATTTTTTTTTTTAAAATCTAATTAACTGTTTTGATCATTCAACTACAACATATTTTAAAACTAATAAATTACATTTTATTTTTATTTTTATTTTCAAATCAATATTAAAATTACATTCAAAAACCATTTTTCAAGTCTGTTGACTAAACTGCTTTAAAAAATAATTATTATTTAATTCAAAGTACATTCAAATCCAACTTGGTGTACAAATCCATCAAAACAAAATCCAGTTAGTTTGTTATTCTCTTAAAAGAAAACTTTTATTATTTTATTAAACGTTGTTTTAGATTTCAACTCCTAATCGGCTCATCCCACCAATAAGTTGGACTTTGGACAAATTACAAATTTCTTTTTTAATTAAAATTTTCAATGTAATTAAAACATGCTTATAACATTATAGGCATATAATATTACATTAGATAATCTCTTTACCATAACACAATTTTGCAGATAATCAGTATAAATTTCTACCTACAAAAGAAATTGGTAGATAATTGATGGACATTTATCCTAATTTAATTTGTTTAGAATTAGTTTGGTTGGGTTTCAAGTTGCAAATGTCTTTTGTATATTGTTTCCAATAATAAGAAGGTTCAGTTGTTACACATATTTTTAGTAAAATAAAATAAAATAAAAAATTAAATTAGTTTTGAAACATAATGTTGTAGTTGTATTTTAATATTAATAAATACGTTAATACAATGAATTGTATTATAGTATTTTTAAATTGAGTATAGCTTTAAAAATAGACTGACATATATATAAATGAGATTTTTGATGATTTGATGACACTTTCAACAATATTTCTAAAGATTCAAAGGACGATATATATGATAAATCTTTAAAAATAAAAAAATAAAAATTCCTAGAAAAATTTAATTACTTAATTTCCTTAAAACAAATTTTCTATAAATGTTTTCATAAACCCCCAAAAAAGAGGATACGAGTTCTTGAAATAACCAAAAAAAAAATGACACTTAATCTTTAAAATCTGTTTAAATTAACTGTGAGAAGGACAGGGGATAATTGCATATGATTCTTTAATTTACCAATCAAAATAGTTTTAGTTTACCATATGAAAAGTAAACATGTGGCAAGACTTGCATCTAATATTGGCTTTAAAATAAAACTTATACACTTATTCTTATAGTCTCTCAAAACGTTATCCTCCAATGAATCACATTACTATATTGATGATTTATAGTAAGCATTTATATTGGATGATTTTAACGCTAGAATTTTAATAAGATTAATTGATAAGACTCGTGTAACAAAATTATATTTTTCTAAATTTTTATTCAAAAGAAAAAAGCGAGATATTAAGAATCACATTACTTTCTAATTTATGATATACACACATATATAAAGCAGGTTTTGTTTTTCCTTTTTAATAAAGAAGCAAACAAGAGACTCGTACCTTATGCTCCAAGCAAAAGGAATTTGGCTCTGAAATATGAAGTGAATTTTCTTGGAAGCTTAGATATTTTGAAGTGAATTTTTCACATTCCTTCACCACCAACCTTTCTAACATCAGCAATTGCCAAAAATCTCTTCTATGATAGAAAGCTGTAAGTTTTGGTAAATTTTCAAGCTTCAAAAAGGTTACCTGTGGAAAGGCAAAATTAACAGTAGCTTTTGCTCCTTCTTCAGCAACAATCTCTTCTAAAACCTTACAATTGCNAAAAGTAAACATGTGGCAAGACTTGCATCTAATATTGGCTTTAAAATAAAACTTATACACCTATTCTCATAGTCTCTCAAAACATTATCCTGCAATGAATCACATTACTATATTGATGATTTGTAGTAAGCATTTATATTGGACGATTTTAACGCTAGTATTTTAATGAGATTAATTGATAAGACTCATGTAACAAAATTGTTCAAATCCAACTGACTATTAATTTTATTCATATTTTTCTAAATTTTTGTTCTAAAGGAAAAAGCGAGATATTAAGAATCACATTACTTTCTAATTTATGATATATACACATATATAAAGGTGGTTTTGGTTTTCCGTTTCAATAAAAAAGTAAACAAGAGACTCGTACCTTATGTTCCAAGCAAAAGGAATTTGGCTCTGAAAGATGAAGTGAATTTTCTTGGAAGCTTAGATATTTTGAAGTGAATTTGTCACACTCCTCCACCACCAACCTTTCTAACATCGGCAATTCCCAAATATCTCTTTTATGATAAAAAGTTGTAAGTTTTGGTAAATTTTCAAGCTTCAAAGAGGTTACCTGTGGAAAGGCAAAATTAACAACAACTTTTGTTCCTTCTTCCGCAACAATCTCCTCTAAAACCTTACAATTGCTTATTTGAAGGTCTTGGAGAGTGGAGAGGCTTTCGGCTACGGAAATTGGAAATGCATATTTTATTTCTCTACATCCGTGCAAGTTCAAGCGTGTCAAGGAAGACATGAATGTTGGAGGTTGTTGGCTGTCCCAAATCTTTCTAAAACTAGTAACTTTCAATTCCAAGGCCATCAAATTGGAGAAAATAACCTGAAGTCAAAGATAATTGATGTTGCAATATTTACTCATATGAAAAAAGTAAATAATTGATTATTATGGATTTATAGATGACATGCCATTAGTATTACCAATGTGTCTTTTTGTCTCTCTAATAATTTTCATCATGAGATCAAGCATGAATTAATGAAATCAATTTGATAGAAATTACAAAGTATAATTATTGAAGAGAAGCATTTAGTAATGAAATTTAACAAAAAAATTTAAATCACTAGAAAAAAAAAAAGCAAAAAGAGAAGAACAAATAATTCAATATCACAACTTTGTTAAAAAGTGGCGTGAGATTGTTATCATCATCTGAAAATTCAGTCAACCGTAAGAGTTCAACATTCTTGAAAATTCGTAATTCTTCTGACGAGATGCTAGAATCATATTTAAATTCCAACATTCTTGAACATTCATAATTGCGCCAACCGAAAGACCGTAGTAATTCATAGTCCATCCTTGCATATCGGGACCAATCTCCTATTGTTATTTTGTACCTTCTAAGCTCTTTAAAAAAGAAGTCTTCAGGCAACATCTTGTTATCTTCAATATCGATTTCTAAACTGGTTAGTTGAGACAAGTGCTTCAACTCCTTGAGTTCTTCAACCTTCCACTGGATACAACACCCCTTTATATGCAATTCCTCTAGTTTGGATAGTTTTGATATCACATTTGACGCAATAACTTGTAACTGCACACAATTGCTTAAATCCAATAACCTTAGCTGAGTCAATCGACCCATTTCTGTAGGCAACCCCTCAATATTGGTATTTCGTAAGCTAAGGATTTTTAGTTTCTTTAGCTTTCCAATAATAGCAATATCTTCAATTTTGCTATAATCTAAACACAATGTTTGAAGGTTTGTCAAAAGATCAAGTGATGATGGCAACGATGATTGTTGGATGTTATATAAATTTAAAACTTTAAGCTTTGGCATCACCATGAAAAACTCCTTAAGGATTTCGAAAGAACCCCCCTTACTCATATAAAAAAATTCAAGTTCTGGACAATCTAATCCTTCAGGCGATAGTTGAGTAATAATGTTATTACCAACTAAAGAGATCATTGTGCATTTTCTAAGTTTATCTTTATCCTTCCATTCGCTTTCAACGTCATTTCTCTCTGTGAACACAGATGATTTATAATCCACATGTTATAGCAATAATGGAACAACATCATGCATAGAAAATCTATCTTGGTAGAACCACCAAGTAACAAGCAAGAATCTTTGAGTTCCTTGACCACTAAATCTAGTCTATTCGTGCTTGCTCTATTGTAAGGTTAGCTCCTTCAAGTTACCCAAACTAAAGATATCTTGAGCAAGCTGAAAGGGAAGTGTTATTTCCCATTAGACTAGAAATTATGAAAGTTTTCTTGAGTATCATATCTTAAATAATCGTAACTCAACTTAATCTTATAATATTCCCTTTCCAAAACTCTGGGAACTTGTTGGGGAAGGCATTCTTAGTACTCTCAAGGATCTTCCCATTGAGATTTGTCTCTTGTCCTTAATGCTTTTGCTATGGTACAAATGACAATGGGCAAACCACACATTCTTTGCATACATCATTTGGTAAAGAATTCAATTAGGTGTTGAATAACATTACCTGCACAAGAAGTTAGGATTATACTTATTGCATTTTCTATTCACATGCTTTTGATTTAAAAACAAGACAAGTTCCAAAATGAAGATTGAAGATGTAAAAACAGAAAAAAATTAAGAGGATCTAAGGTGAACAAATTTTGTTGAAGGATCAATAAAATCGTATTTATGTAAAAAATTACAATGGGGCTGGCAAGATAAAGATAAGTGGTGAACTAGTGTCACTCAAAGTTTTTGAACATCTTAAAAGCAAAATAGCTATTTATTAGTACACGAAATTTGTATATTTAAGTTTAAAAATTTCACTATTAAATTTATTGATTGGTAGAAAATTGATATTATGTGATATATAACTATAGTAAATAACATGTGTAGTATATATATAATATCTATATATATATATATACTTACACAATTTATCATATTTTTAAATTACTAAATTTTAGTTTTTAATTGAATAATCGGGTGAGGTTTATAACTGCTGGGTAACAGTGGTGGAGGTTATGAAATTAAAAATGAGAAAAATAAAAAAGTTTATTGGACTTTTTTTAAAAGAATCCGATTAAAAAAATGAATAAAAAGGGAGAAAAAAAAGGTTACGAGTTTAA